AGAGAGAGAGAGAGAGAGAGAGAGAGAGAGAGAGAGAGAGAGAGAGAGAGAGAGAGAGAGAGAGAGAGAGAGATGAAAACAAAATTCCACTAATTGCAAGGACATCAACCAAAAATCAATTTAAGGAGGGCACCTTTGTTTCCCAGGCTGAAAGGTGGTAGGTGTACACACGGGTTCACGAAGATCAGTAATGGTATGCGTCCATGTCCAGCAGAGTTCGGAGTCTGAAGCGGAAGGCCGCACTCAACCCTCGTGTTCATGGGTCTTCTCCTCTGTGTGGGGGCGCTGGTAAAACCATGCTGGAGATAGCGAGCCTCGTCCCTACCCTCGGCGGGACATAGAGTGCTTCGCCAAAAAGGGGCTATGGCAAGCCATGAGATAACCATAAGTTTGTGTTTATCCCAGCAATGCCAGCATCATTCATACATCCATCATATGTTATCATATGTTATTAGGAAAGCATTAATTTTCCACACATTGTGCCCTCAAGTCTAAGACTTCAATGTCACACAAACCGCACTCGAGATCACCAACTATGAGAAAGATAGAGACAGCATTTAAGCTGGCACCCCACAGGTCTATGTGTGATGTACTGGTGCTTTAAAGGGAAGACGCATTCAAGACAGTAAAATAATAAGGTGAGTATAAAACAGAAGATCTCAAAGTAGACTTGACAAGGTTGGTTTATGTTGTCTTGTTGCCATGATGCTTGCCTTGATCTCTACCTAGGAGAAAGAACATCTGGAGGGGCTCATCCAGACTATGCGGCAAAGTATAGCAACAGCTGAAAGCATGTGCGCACAGCTTGAGTCAAGGTGAGAGACAGAGCTCAAGCTGCAACAGGTACAGTTCTCTTATTAGCAATATTTTGGCGATTCTAAACACCTGTATGACCAAACATTGCCATGAGGGTGAACACCTGTATGGGCTAACAGGGGGGACACCTGTATATGCTAATTGCTATTCCACCACTTCTTCTTTTTTCTTCCAAACAACAAAGATCCCCATCTCTTATTAATCAGTGTCATTACTAACATAATGGTCATCATTTGCAGTTTCCGTATGTTCATTCCGGGCAGATTGTGAGGACCCCGGCCTCAATCTTATTATTGGTAATATCAGCCTTGGGCACTGGGCCCGGTTACAAAAAAAAAAAAAAAAAAAAAAAAAAAAAGATCCCCATCTCTTCTGGGGGCCAACAGTCTGGTTACTTATCACCGCAGTCATAGGAACAAGATCCAAGAAGAAAAGAAGAGAGAAGAAGAGGCCCGCCTTGCCACAGCAGCCCGAGCCGGCTAATGGGGGCCCCCCTGTGTGAGTGATGTCAGCCCCCAAATCCTTGCCCTTCTGCCGGGGCTTCGATGCTGGTCGGGAAACTCGTATGGAGTACCCAGTCACACAACCTGGGGGTCCCTAGAAGGGGCAGATGTGGGACCAGGGTCCTCAAGCAGCCACTAAGGCCATACAACCTTCGTATTAACAATCCCCAAAGTCTCCCTAACCTCTCACATAATCCCAACCTGCCTCTTACTATTCTTTTTTTTTTTTTTTTTTTTTTTTTTTTTTTTTTTTTTTAATTAACAGAACCTTTCGGTTCTGGCTGCTGCCATTCCGGGGAGCAACAGTCCGGTTCCTATTCCCCCGGCAAGTCATAATTGAATACAAAAATTACTCATGCACGCTCCTCCCCATGATGGGTGGAAGGTTCGAGTGGGCGGCATTGATTACTTCCCTGAGGAAGGATATACCACCCCTCCCCCCTGCCTAAGTTAGCCTATTCTACGTCATCCAGCAGTTTAACTCGTAATCCCGGTATATTCTTTCTTGTCAGACCTTTCCTTAAGAGCCTGCCTTTTCACACATGAGTCTCAAGAAAGACCGGTACTGTCTCCGTTGTTTGCTAGGTCCTTTCCTCTCAGGTTACCCATAGTAACCTGTCATGTAACTCATAAATATCAAGAAACGACCTTAGTACCCTCCCCGTATTGCGATGTGGTCCCTATTGTTCACCTATGCCATAACTACATTTGTATTCCACCTGCCTCTTACTACTTGCTTCCCTGCATCATCCAAAACACTGGCACGGCCTAATTTCCGGTCCGGTTTTCTAGACAGTAGCAGTTATCATCCCTCCCAGTTGAAACCCAACAGCCCTATTCGCCACAAACCAATGTGATTACCCAAACTTCCCAACCTACCTAATGCAGACCCAAATCTTACCCAGCCTGCCTATTTACAGAAGCTCCCAGCGACTTATTTCCCATTTCCCCCCAATTGTTCCTCCCCTCTGCCACTCCGCTGCGAAAAACCCCTGCGGTAGTCTACCCCCATCCCCCGTTCAATGTGGGATGACCCTATCCCAACACTGAGTGCACACTCCACTCTTACCCGACTCGGGCTTCTCTGTCGGGACTCTTATTGACCGATGCTCCACATTCCAATCTCTCTCTCTCTCTCTCTCTCTCTCTCTCTCTCTCTCTCTCTCTCTCTCTCTCTCTCTCTCTTGATGGTAACTGTTCATGCAGAGCCTCCTAAGTAACAGGAGACTGACATAAGCCACAACCACCGACAGGGGTCCTATAGGCATTGTTAGTTTGATTGCCCTCATTTGCTAGGCTGGACACTTGCAATTCAAGCCTGTGAATAACAGTCCCGAAAAAAGAATTCAGGTTGGAAGCAGGTAAGCACGAATCCTTGATGGTTTTGTTATTTTACATATTTCCTCATGAGTTTTTTTTTTTTTTTTTTTTTTTCACCTACGTTTGAATTGAAAGGTGCAGATTCTGGAACTCATTGGGGATAGGAGGTGAAATGACTGCTTGCGACAACACACCCTTTAGGTATTGCTGGTGATGTCAACCGAAATGAATGTTTGGAATGGTGGATCGCAGAGGATCCATTGCATCGTCAAAATTAAACTCGATGTCGTATTCCGTACTTGCTTTCTTCAAAAGAATTTACGAGGAGTGAAGCTGCCGCATCAATCTTACAGACTAGTGCAAGGAGTAATAGCCGATCCTCGAACCTGAGACACCCGACCGGTTATAGCTGGAAGCTACTCCAAGAGTCCAAGGGTGAGGTGGACCGGACAAACTACATTACCAAAAATAGACTTCTGCTGTTTCCCCCCCTCCTCCTCCTTTGTTTTTTTCAATCCAATCGTATTCTGTCTAGGACAAGACATTAAAGCTAAGCCAAGTAAATCTCTGCGTGTTCGACCGGGAAGATTGTCGAGACCCCGGTTCCAATTACTGTTTTGTGAAATAAAAATTTGCTGAAAATAAGTTTTCAGCTGCCCAGCGCACGGCCTCCGGAAAGACAGGAAGACCCAAAGTTTATGGACTCCGAGGTCATGGCATTCCACACATTCAAAGGCACTGGCTGCCAGCGCTATAGGTGTGATTCAGCGCACGACCAGAATGTCAGTCCACCGCTAAGAATGAGGAAGTGGCCAGGAGTAGCCATGGCAAGCTGCTCCACCTGTCTACTTGTGAAGCAGCCAGCAGGCATAGCTGTTCTGAGAGTGGAAGTGAGTTGGCTTTGTGTGTGGGGTGACCAGGGAAAGGGCCAGCACTGGGGACTGGTGGTACTTACCTGGTGATGGCCAAGGACCACATTCGTGGTTGTCAGACTCTGTAGCATTGCTGGGGGAGATGACAGTGGACAGAGAGAGTGAGAGAGAGTGTTGAGATGGAGAAGTAGGATGTGTATATAGCAAGAGTAGGGGAGTAGTATAGGCGGTCCACATCCTAGTCAAGCTGCTACGTCGTCGTTGTATTGATGATTGGAGGCGAGACGTTGGGCTTCCTTTGTCAAGAGACTTCAGTGCGCAGTGCATTCTCGTTTGGTGTGCTCTTTTTTTGGCTATTGTAATTCTTCGTTCGACTTTGCTCATATATGTTTGTCCTCCTTTGAGTCTTTTGCAGCTCAGAACTTTCGAGTTCCCGTTGATTGGTTCCTCACATTTCGGTATTCGACCAGGTTCCCTGAACAGGCCAACTCAAAGTTGCGCAGTCAGGTCTTATGGTGCTGGCGGTTGTGTATTGTCCCATGGACAGTGTCGTTGACCATTTCACCGCTCGCGAGTGATCTCCGGCGCCGGCTAGAGAGCGCAGAGGTGGAAGTTGTATGGAAATTGTGGCATTGCCATGACATTAAATTGGTGCTTGTCGAAGTCGTCGTTGCCTGAGGCAGTACTGTACTGGCAGTCTGGCATTGTAATGTAGGTGGTTCCTGAGCATCACCAGTAATAAAATGTGACGCCGGAAGTTGGTGAAACGGCAGAGGTGGAAGTGTCCCTGACCTTAGTTACCCTCTATAGTTCTTCTTAGCATGAGGAAGAGTGTTTCACTTGGGAGTCCTCGTATCGTGCGTTGCGAGAGCATGCTACCTTGAGAGTCGGCCTTCTTCTAGCCAGTCCGACTACTTTTTTTTTTTTTTTTTCCCTAAAACAGAACCTTAGGGTTTTGGCTACTTATCCATTCTGGGGAACAACATCAGTCCTGTTCCTATTCCACCGGCAAGTCAAAGGAAATACATTGAGAACCGACCACGCTCACGCTCACGCTCCTTCCGCTTCTGGTGTGGAGGCCCGAAGGACGGCATTGATTCCTTCCATCAGGAAAGATGTACCACCCCTCACATCCCTGCCTAAGTTAGCTTGTGCTACTTTTCTCCGGAGTTCCTTTTGCTAGTCCGGAGTTCCGTTTGCTCTGTTACTTGAAACTTAACTCCTTTCGTTCCATCCAGGCAGCTCCTCTCTTTTTTTTTCTTTTTTTTTTTTCTTTTTTTCCTCTCAGCTCCTCGGCTGTCTGATTTTCTTCTCGCGCTAGAACTTCTGATTTGGCTGCCTATGGTGAATTCTGTTTGAACTATGCTCTGTGATGCTACATTTGCTGCGCTCCTTGCTACCCAGTTGCTAAAACCCTAAACCCTTGCCCACCTGTTTTTTTATTTTTATTTTTACGAACCCTTATAGACCGTATCTGCTCTTGTTGACGTAGGTGTTTTGAATTCCTGCGGGGGATAGGGTGGTGCTCTAATGGTTCTTCATTTTGAGTCGCTTGGTTTCCTATCGGGTTATGGTCTGTTTTGGGATTGATCTGTGATTGGCGGTATGGTTGGTTCATTGGGAATCCTACGGTTTCGGGTTTTAACTGGTTTCTTTTACTTGGAGGAATCTGTCGTTTTTTCTTCCTTCCTGAGACTATCGGTTTGCTGTCTGACTCGAGTGTGTGTCTAATGGAATTTCCAGCTGTTCCCTGTTACTTGGCAGGTCGGAAAAGGGCTAACCCACTGGTATTTGGTGGGGTAGTGATGCATGCGTTCATCTGGTGCTTAGTGACATGTCTGATAGGTGTGTTTTGTTTCCCTGTGTGTATGGTGGTGTCTGGGTTAGGGCTGTGTGATTGTGTCTCCAATGTCCAAACAAAAAGACTCCAAAGTGAATTCTATCCTGCACTATCGTAGCTATCTTACCTTCTCCTAGTAGGTGTTTTGGAAAATGATTCTATTATTTTCCATATTTTGTCTCTATTTGTTAAATTATTATTAAGTATCTTCATGCGGGTCCTTTTCCAGCGGCATCAGTCTGACTACCATTCCGCCGGCAAGCCAGCAAATTACAATATAATATTATACAACACACTCTGAGGCTTGTCCCCATTATGGTTGGTTGGGAGATCCGAGTGGGCAGCATTGATTACTTTCGAGCGGAAGAATGTCACCTCCCCTCACCCCTGCCTAAGCTAGCCTTGCTTTTCCTTAGACTACGTCTTCGGTTCCCTGTCTATCCTACTAGTCCCTATCCCACTGCTGCGCTGCACTGTGTGACTTGTTTGTCTCTCTATATGGTGTCCATTTTCGCTACTTCA